GTTCCCCAGCAGGGCACTGTTTCCGCACCACTTCTTACAGGCGCATGCATCCCAAAACACCATGCTTTGCCCTGAGCCGTTATACTTCTTTGCCACAATGGTCATGCTGCGTCTTCAACCCCATCCCCTGTTCCTTTCGAAGCCCGTCAGTAATACAAGTGCTGCTCTCCCCTAACTATATGTGTATATATATATATGTGCGTGTACATATATATATATATATGGCACCCCTCCCAAGTACCCCCATTTGTTTGGTAAACGACATGTTTTCGTCGCTTTGTTCATGAAATGGTTTGGCAAAAGATGTGTGGGGAGATGTGTGGGGGATACCATATATATATATATATACTACACCAGCATAGACCCAGATAGCTAGGCAGAATCCCACGACCTGTTGACATGCGACTGGTTGGAACAAGAATGTACGCAGCCTGCGCAGCCAGCTTACGGCACCTCCACAGCGCGTGACAATCAGCTGACACCAGCACCGGTGCGCTTTGCCAGCTGACAACGCCGGCAGCGGCGCCAGCACCCGACCAGCGCCGCCGGCCGCCGCCCGTCTTAAACGCGCGCTCAGCCAGCTCACAGCACCAGCACCCAAGACCACAACAAGCACCAGCACCGACACCCTTTCGAAAGCGCGCGCAGCCAGCTCATCCTTATTTGCAGCAAGAACCCCATAGCTATCCCTATTTGGTGAATAACAACGCATGATCTTGCCCGTATAAGTTTACGCGCACAAAAGTATGCGCGCAAGCAGCAAAGCTCGTAAGTGTCATTGGCCCAAGGCCAAGCAGTCTCCAGCGCCACTATTGACTTTGTAGCATGCTTGAAGCAACGATCTGCAGAACGATAAGGCCGTATGATCTTGCGTATAAGTTTATGTGCACTAAAGTATGCGCACAAACGGCAAAGCCCGTAGGCTTCACTCGCCCAGGGCCGAGCAGTATCCAGCACGACTATTGTGTGTGTAGCATGCTGAAACATGCTGAAACAATGGTCGGTTGAGAGCCTGACGTTGCGCATAGAACAATTATACGTACAAAAGTACGCGCGCAAACAGTACAGCCCTTGACACAGCTGTCGGCCAAAACAGAACCTGAAGAGTGTAAATACCCCACAGCACTGCGACAACACCACATGATGTTGCGTGCGTAAGTTCATGCGGCCCAATGACTGCTGGCACTTCATTGTCAGAAGCGGCGCTTGGTCGCCCTTCGCCCTTCGCTGTCAGAAGCGGCGGCTGTCATCACTTCACTGTCAGAAGCGGGCACCAGCACCCAGCTACCCAGCACCCAGCACCAGCACCCGGCATCTGCACTGCCAGCTCACAGCGCCGGCATTGATGTCTCTACCCCGCACCAGCACCAGCAACCTGTCCCCACCACGCGCACAGCCAGCTCACAGCACCAGCACCAGCGCCGGCACCCGGCGCCCAGCACCACCTCCACCACGTGCACAGCCAGCTCACAGCACCACCGCCGGCACCCGGCACCCAGCACCAGCACCAGCAACCTGTCTCCACCACGTGCACAGCCAGCTCACAGCACCAGCGCCAGCACCGGCACCCGGCACCAGCACCAGCGCCAGCAACCTGTCTCCACCATGTGCACCAGCACCAGCACCAGCACCCGGCGCCCAGCACCAGCACCAGCAACCTGTCTCCAGCGTGCGCACAGCCAGCTCACAACACCAGCGCCGGCACCCGGCACCCGGCACCAGCACGCACAGCCAGCTCACAGCACCAGCACCAGCACCGGCACCCGGCACCCAGCACCAGCACTGGCACCAGCGACCTGTCTCCACCACGTGCACAGCCAGCTCACAGCACCGGCGCCGGCGCCCAGCACCAGCAACCTGGCTGGAAAGCGCGCACGGACAACTCATTGTTATTTGAAGTAAGAACCCCATAGCTTGGCTATCTGGGGAATAATGGATATGAGTATATAAAACATACAAATCAATACACTGGAAAAATTCACAGGCACACAAATCAATACCTTGCAATTCCTTGCAAGGTCCGGATTTTAAGGTTCAAGATTCTGGAGAAACTTCTTCAATCCAGCCCTGGACTTTTTCAATGTTCAATCCAACTCCCTGAATTGAAGGCCTTTCCAAAATCTTCCATCTTCAATCCAAGTCCTTGGGTTGAAAAAATTTCCCAGAACAATCCAAGTCCTTGGGTTGAAGAAGTTCCCCCAGAATCGTCAAATTCAACTCAAGTATATATTAGTTGCGCAGCCCAATATCACCGTAGTCCCTATACTTTCCTCGCACAAACCTTGCAAGGTTCAATGTCACGATGTCCAGTTTGCATGTCAATTTCTGCTGGGGGCAAAAACCATCGTTCCTTTTACCAATAGGGCAATTTAGCTATAACTGGCGTATTTTTTTACCCACAACCATATACTAAACAAGGACTCCAGGGATCTGGATTGAAGATTCCTGGCCAAAGTCAGGTGAAATCTTGTTACTAGTAGCGTGGCACTTGTTACTACTAGCTTCTTGTTACTACTAGTAAGGCACCTGTTACTAGTAGCGTGGCACTTGTTGCTACTAGCTTCTTAATCCAAGTTTTTGAGCTGAATATTCTTATGTTGAGAGCTTATATAGAAGCGTTTACTTCGGGGTCTCCCTTGGTGGACCAACATTTAAAAAAACAACTCAGCTCTAATTGAACTTTAATTAGATACTAATAGTTGTCCAGTTAAATTCTACTTGATTTCAAATTGAGTTCAACTTCAACTTGATGATTTTTCTAAGTGAGTTCCAATTGAAATCTTATCGACTTCTACTTAAAAATCTTACTGAATTCTAATTAACGTCTGAGTAAGGCCTACCTAAGTTGGCCTAACTAAGCTCTAGCTGAATTCTGCGCGAGTCCTTATGGGCCTAATGAGGCCCCAATTAGAACCCAAGCGGGCTCCTATTGAAATCTGATAAAACTCTACTTGGTTTCCATTGAAGTTCTAAATGAAATCTGCTTGAATTCTCATTGAAGCATAAATACATTCTAGTTGAATTTCAATCAGACTGAATTGAGATCTAACTGGTTTCCAATAATTTGAATATTTTAAAACAGAACTGGGGCCACTGTCTCTGGGAATAGCAACTTCTATATTCAAAAGCTTTATACAAGGGCTTTCACTCCAAAAGCTCTTCTCTGGATCTCTGGTCATGATCACTTCTACGTCAAACATCTTGATACCTTGATATAAAAGCTGTCACGTCAAAAGCTTCTCTCTGGATCTCTGGATACAGGTCCAAATATAGGTCAAATATAGGTCCCAAAACATTGAAAGTCAGCTGTTAAACCATATCTGTCCCTGTCTTCTCTTGGTCTGCTTCCTCTGTTGGATCCGTATGACAGCTGGCAACTTTTCCTCTACAGCATCTACACTCGGTCGCTTCATTCCCAGCGCATGCCTTCTAAAGCAGTCTCCAGGCGCATGAAGCGCATTCAATCTGGGATCGAAAACAAGGCCTGTGCTGGTTTACTCCTGTGTCTGCTTCTCCTGTACTAAAGAAAACTTGCAAGTGCAAATGCTCAACATTAACACGCACGTCTAAATGTAGCCTCTGCTGTCATCTGCTGCTGTCGCACCAACCTGCATAATACAAGCGCATATCTGCTATCATCTGAACGTATGGTCATCTGGTGTTTGTCACTTTCTTGTGGTCGTCTGGTGTATTGGTCAAATATCTGCATCAAATCATTGCTTGTAACCCAAAACGGGTGTATTTGATGGGGCTAGCATATATATATATTACACAACAACAAAACAAGTGAGCTTTGCGCAAACCAAGCATTAGGAGAACATGTTCTGCATGAGTCGGTCTGGTGACACATCAAAACGCCAAATAGCTGGCCACAAGCTAAGCGCTTAAAGGTACCGACTTCTGCTATAAATACTCAACCTACAAGGCAGCTGAAAGGGATTACTATGCTGTACAGCTGTCCGTTTCAAGAGTATAAGTTGGTACAATATAGTGTGTATATATATATATAGTCCTAAACATGCTGTAGTTGCATCGACATCAGTACAGTCGTCGTACCAGCAGTGGCACGAGCAAAAATCCGCCCACACTGCAAGCTGGAATCATCGTCAGTCAATCATCACATCGTAATCAATTCATAGCTCTGCTAGGGGGTGCCCTCTTTTTTTGTTTCGGGGAAAAATGTCTTACGCCTCGAGGGCCATGGGGGAGAGCGTTTTGGAGGTACATTTTTGGACTATTTCTGCAAGAACCCAAACAAGCCAAAAGATGGACACCCACGGTGCTGAAAAAACCTCCTGACCAGCAACGCACAACCAGCATTATTGGAGGTACATTTTTGGACTACTTCTGCAAGAACCCAAACAAGCCAAAAAACGGACACCCACGATGCTGAAAAACCCTCCTGACCAGCAACGCATATCCAGCATTATTGCAAAAGAAACCACGTAGCCTCAACACAGGGTCACTAAACGATCAAGCTAGCCTTGACATGATGTAATGTGGACTAACCAAGCGGGGGCAAGGCCACAAAACGGTCGAACTTGGAGCCTGAATTGGCTTAAACAATCTTAAACATGGCCACCAAACAAGCGAAGTTGTGCGTAACTCAGCCGCAACATGGCCATAGACGCTGCGGCAAACAAGCCATCTCTTTGGACACCACTCCCGACCTCCCCTGTCCACTCCAGCAGTCTTTCCCCAGACGACCAAAAAAAAAGAAGGTGTGGGCGGTGGTCGACGCGAAGCGTCAGGAATAATGCAAGGAACACTGGCAATGGAAGCCACAACGATGGTGCCAGCAGCAGTTCTTGATTGCGGTTGTGGCGAGGCAAAGTGGTAGTTTTCTGCTAGAGCAGTGCCTCCGACAACCCTGTTGACGGAAACACATCCGAGCAAACCAGTCAAATGTTTTTTTTGAGGGACTCGTATGAGCTTAATCCTTTTTGTCCATTTATGCAACTAGTCAGTGTTGGTGATCTTCGATGGGAGGTGTCAAGCAATCAAAGTGTTTTAGCCAAGAGGTCCTTCATCATCTGTTGTCGTTCATCATCGAGATTGCACTTGCTAAGAGCAATAGGGATCTGCATCATGTCCTTGGCCACAATAGCACGCAGCGCAGTTCAGAGGGGCAAGTGATCCTAGCTGCCCCATGTTGTCGTGCAAGCAAGCAACGTATGCAAGTGTTTTCCTCAAGTCGTCGTCTTCCTTCTCCTCTGACACACCCTCGGCCTGGCACTCTCAGACATCCAAAGGACAATCTCCAAAGGCTTGTTGAGGCCTTTCATCTTGGCCTTCATGACTACTCCGTGATTACTCCATACTCAAAGTCTACTCACTTTGACCGCGTGCAAAAGCGGTTTAGGTTACATCCCTACAACCGATAACCTCTCCAAAAAGTCCTTCAACCAGCGAAGACCATACTCACGGGCACCTTGTGCAACCGCTTCTCGGCCGTGGCACGGAAGACTTCCATGGTGGAGGCCCACATCTTCTTCACCATGTCGGCATTTTGGCCTGAGACAAGTGTTCCATGCTTGGGGCCTCTGGTCATCCCTGACCGCAGCAGCTGAATTCCTTTTGGGTTCCACAGCTCGTTCTCCAATGGCATCATGCAAGAGACCATACAACCTTTTGGCCTTGTCATTCGTCGGCTCTAAAATCACAGGGTGTCCCCACCATCCACCTCCTCTAAATGCAGACTTGCTGCCGAAGCATTCGTGAAGGTTTACCCTGAAATCATCTGTAGTGTGGTCTCCCGAGATGATTCGAACATGCAGATCTACATGAGGCCCAAAAAAGCTCGCCAAGAATGCGTCGGTGATGTTCACCAAGACTCTGGTGCTAGGCAAAGCCTGCACGTTGGGAATGTCGCTGCATGCAGGCACCAAGAAAGAAAGACAATCAGAAAAATTGCTTTGCCCGAGTTCATCAAGCCTAAGATATGATTCAAACATTCAAATCCGGTGTTCTTTTTTGTTTTAACAAGCCCTCACTGGCGTGGCCTGCACTTCCATGCCTCAGTGTCACACAAATGATGTGAAGCTTGCACTCAGAATGGCTTCTTCCCTGTAAAAAAAAAAACAGATTCATGCTGCTGCTCCCTTGCTCAGGATGTTTTGCCAAGCAACGATGCACTGGAGATAGCACCAGCTTCCTCAACGCAGTGCCCATATCTCTGCCAAAGCCCCGCCTGCATGCATCATGGCACAATCTCGAGCGACTGTGTGCCCTCCAATTCTTTCCTCCACCTATTCAGTGTCGAGAAGTAGCGGAAGAGAGGGTACAAGCAAAAGAAAATTGACGGTTGAACGAAATTTGCCATTGAAAACAGGAATGCTTTGTCTGCTCGTTGCGACCCTGCCTGTCATCGGAGTGCCACTTCTCCACGCTGTCTGCCAGCTCTGTGGCCCTTGGTCCAACTTGGTCAACTCAGACTCTCTCAAAGCCTTGCAAATGTAGGAATAGAGTTCGGTTGAAAGAGGTCTTGAGTCGTAAAAGCCTCAGGTGAAAACTGCTGTATGGTTGAAATCGCAAGGCAAAAGTTGGATGGAGGTCTTTGCCCAGGTGATACCTCTCTCCCACCCAGGTCATGATGTGCCCAGGCACACATCTGCTCCGTTAATGAAGACACGCTGAGTCAAATAAGTGACATTCATGGCGTGTTCTGCTGCATGCTTCAGAGCCTCTCCACAAGGAACATCTGCTTCAGAGCTTGGACAAAAATACCCTAAAACCCTATCGCCTCCGCCTAGCAATGGCCTCCAACCTAGGAATGGCCTCCCCCTGCCCCATGACTGCGACTCCCTCATGCAAAACTGATCTGCTTCTTTTGTTCGAGTTCTTGACTTCTTGGGAGGGCTGCTTCATCGACACTAGCTACTTCCAACGATTTCAAACGAAGTCAGGCTGCAAGGCACCTCAAGGCCATCGTTCTGGAGGCAAGTATGGAGAATCTGATGACTCAGGGCAGCCACCTCCAAAGCCAAACTCAGGCCAGCTGACAGATTCGGAAGAGTCTACAGTATATAGCCGCGCAAATCCTCAACAGGCCCTGGAATTGCAAAAATAATAGAAACAACAAAACAAACCCTTCACTATACTATACAATATAAACAGGACAATTCCTTTAGCTACTAGTCTAGTGAGATCTAGTAAGGAGAGAAACCGGAGACAGCACACCTCGTTACGGGGTGGTCTACATAGGCCTACAAAGTGTAGGGACTTAGTGATATACAGCAGGGCCCTAAGCCCTAAGCCCCTAAGCAAATCTAAGGGGATGCCTTTTGCATACTCAAGCCCAGCTCCATGACCACGGCTGAGGCATCCATGAGGAAGTCCGGCGAATCCTGCCATCCGTCAACCATCGCCGCAGGCCCCAGGTTCTTTTGAAAGGCCGCTCTGCCCCCTACCCACTAGCGATGGCCTCCAACCTAGAAGTGATGGACTCCAAACTAGAAGCGATACCTGTCCAAACAACGAATGTTAATTGAACTCCGGGTTTTCCTCCGCCCTTCCAGTCTCCATCTATAGGAGGTTATGGTAGCAGGCACATTCTTGCGTCCTGCTCTGCTTCAAGTCTCCGCTCGGCCATGAGCCCTTGATCTTTTAGCCATTCCTGGACATTGTGTGGCAAAACTGGCAAAATCAAGTCAAGAATATCTGCAACCACTCCGATGTTTCAGAACGTGGAAGAAAATAGACTTAGGCCGCGCTAGCTGGATTGAAAGCACCAAACTGTTTGACTTCCACCAGCCCAAAACAAAGAACATGCTATTGTGGAGGAATGCATCTGCGACGCTTTGACACATTCTGAGGGTTCATGAGGAATGAAGAGAACGAAAAAGAACTGTTGGCAAAGTCACCAAATCATTCAACAATCCGTCTGCATCCCTGCGGTCCCGCGGCATGTTTTCTGGATGACCCAGCTGCCCTGCCTGGTCGGGCGTGGTTGTGGTCCCGAAGTTCCCGAGCTCCGGCATGGCATCCCGAGCCCCGATCAGCTCCTGTGTGAACATGACCTCAACAGCGATCAAGGGCGAACTCTAGCGGCAGGCCTCAACAGGTCTCAACTTGCACGGTCATTCCATGTCATTCCCCTTTCAACAGGGCCGTTGTCTGGGAGTTTGCCTAGCTTGGGACACAACCGACAGAACGATGAGGACATTGTTGAGCCACATTGGAATTTCATGGAAGTTCTCAACGCCGAATCCGTAAGGCCAGGGCCACATGAGTGCCCACCAGAAGCACATCATCTGTCATGTGCCTGGTGCCTTCCTGAAGGCAATCTACCTGCAACAAAAACTCGTTGGCTCATCCAGGGCCAGCAAGTTCTTGATTTCTGCTCAGCCCAGCTGATGCAATGTCTCTATATTATATATATATATATCGCCTACTCCTAGTGAAATATGTTTGCACAAACGCTTGGAGCTTTCACGTGTTTCCTGTTTCCTGGATCCGTCAAGTTGAACGGTGAAATATCATGTTGCTCAGTGAAGGGCCAAAAACCTGAGAATCGCACCTCCTCTTTTGGCAAGTGCTCCCTCTGCAGAAAGGTCTCCACGATCCCCTCCATGATCTCAGCTGCATCCTGCCATCCAAATGCAATTGAATGGTACGCAAAGTGAGAAAGAACATGAAAGATCTGAAAGAACCAGCTGCACGGGCGCGACTGCCGCAGGATTCTGGTAGGTGGACCATCTTATGGCGAAAGGCCAGGCGATTTCAATCAATTACCATTGGCTCGAGGTTCACTTCCTGTTGCGGATCTAAATTGGGTTGTGTAACCTCCGACTGGACTGCAAAGACCATCAAAGGCCTGGCCTGTGGCAGATCGGTGATCTTGAAGCCTTTCTTCTTCACCTTGCAGCCAAGAGGACTGCAGTCATCGATTACAACACCCAGCTGGGATTTTAATTTGTACATACATACATATTGTTATATTATATATGATTTTTGCCAAACCCTGACGAAACGTTTACAACTTTTTTGGGATGCTTCATGCACCCATCTACTGTATATAGATTGCCAATCCAAAACATGTTTGCCAACCCAGCACCAAACGGTGCTAAACACTCTCATGGAAGGAGAGCTGACTGGATGGTCACAACATAGACAAGGCCCACTTAGATTCCATCAACACCTCTAGCGACAACACTCTCTTGCCGTGAGCAAACGAGGTCACCAAGATTCACCAAGTCCCTTTAGCTTCATAGACCCTCCTGACAAGCCCTTGACCTGCGACTTCACTGGCTTCACCGGGCCTTCTCGAAGTCGGCTGCCGACTCGGTCTCCTGAGGTAGCGACAGCGCTGCAAGGTCCGGTCCAAGACTTGCCAACCGCATCTCTGACCAACAGCTGCATCCGCATCTTGCTGTCTTGGTGTGGCTTCAAATGAAGCCCTGAGGAGCAGGCTGTGGAGAATTGGGGCTTGGAGATGGAAGCTGTAAAGGTGCCTTCTTGCCTCAGCTATACGGCACAGGAGGGAAAAAACACATGATCAATAGAGTCGAGATGAGAACCCGGAAGATCAAGAGTATTGCAGGTTGTTCATTCGCGTTGACAACTTTCAGGAGAAGACTGTTGTATTGTTGCTCACACAAGTCAAAAACTGGCTTGGATGGTTGGTACGGTGTTGCCTGGTGGGGTCCCGGTTGGACAAAACCAAGACTCGGGGCAAGAAAACAGTCCTGCAATGAAAAAATTGGATTTCTTTGTTGCATGGCTTGTTTGGACATGACCACGATTGTTGCAGCTACATATATACCCATACGGTGCAGTTTCTCCAAATACTGACATCACCTTCTTGGAACTCACATTTCCTGAGCATTTTTGTCGTTTGTGGTCCCTGTATTGAGATCAAGGAGGCACGCCAAGCTGGTGGATGCCTATGTAGGTTACATGCCACAAAGAGCAACTAAGCCCAGGGCGCAACAGCTCTTAGCCACAGTGAGACCAACCACACGGTGGCATGGCGCAACATCGTGACCACAACAGTCAAGCGATCTTAAGGTCTCTAGGCCAAATTGACCACTCCTGGGCAGCATTCACCATAGGCTTGTTGAAGGTCCCCATGCAACTTTGCTGTCATTCAGGTGACGTGGTGACATGAAGCATTCCAAGCAGTTTTGAGACCTGTGGGATGTGGTCCTACAAGTCTTGGCCTTGGCAAATTCGCAGCTTGGTGAGCCAAGAATCGCAAATCATCGTAACTCGATGCTGCTCCAAGCACTCAACAACCCACGGAGCACTCTGACACCCCTCGCCTGATTACTGTGTATATCCGTGCCCTCCTTATCCTGGATGAGCTTCAGGACCAGTCCGATCCTCAGTCACAACCAAAGTTGAAACACAGTCAAAGTGTGTAGTCTGTAGAGATTTACGGCAAGGCCAAAGGAGAACGTGCGGGGTGCCCATCAACTTTCCAGATAGAGCCAAGTTGGGGCCATGGCCAAACAGGAACCAAAAGGTCCAAGGTCATCGGATCACTTCTGTGAGGATGACTTTGGTCCAAGCCTTCCCTGTAGGGCATCCGGGCACATCAAAGGATCTGGAGGGCTCCAAGGATTGGATGCATCGTTCGCAGAATTGCCACCTTAGCCAGGAAACAATGAAGACGATGAATGACTTCGCAATGAGATCTACATAACGTTCTCAAATCAACTGGTACCCTGCTCCGGCCAAGTCTCCCGCCATCCCTTCCAATCCCACCCTACACGGGACCAGCCCCAGCCAGCGGCTGCCGCCTTGGGAAAGACCTCAGGACCGAACATCTGGCACACCGGCCGATACATGGACTGCGACCTGCTGCAACCCACTTGCAAACATACAATTACATTGTAATCACCTGGGAATAGCTCACTCAGTCTCCTGCATAAATGCCTAGAATCCAAAACAATTCTCACACTGGTCTGGGCCCGCAGCATGAACTAGAAACTTGGCATAAACCTGCCAGGCTTCCTCGTTGATGGCCAAGATGCCATCCAAGTTCTGCCTGGCCAACAGAGCTACCCTTACGCTGGCAGCGTGATCAGCGCGTAGCTCACCATTGTATTTCCGTACAATCACGTCCAACCAAACAGGATGCTTTCTGGTGCAAACCCCGGCAGGATCACCCAAAGGACACGAACACCTCCTCCACACTTCTCATCTTTACCTTGTGGCCCTTAACCTTGGCATCCAGCTTTACACATGAGCAGCTATAGAATCGCCAAGGCTTGCAGTAGAAGAACGAACCAACCCCATCTTTCCAGATTCAAACGGACTCTTAGCCTGTGTGGTCGCGGTGGTCTGTGGTCGCCAGTGTTTTGAGTTTAATCTGCCAAAATAGGAATCCACGGCCCACATTCGCTGACACACCAACCCTGCATCACGGTGCACCAATTGCATCTTTCATCTGGGATTGAGGCCAACTCGGCTAGAATCAGTGGTGCCTTGTCTGGGTCCTGCAATTGTGGCTGAATTTCAAGATGCTGGCCGCAACATGTTGTGATCACAATTTGTAATGGACACTGCTGAGACTAACATAGCAGTTTGGAATATGCCCCTTCCTTGCACTACTGTTGATGAGACCCCGTCCTCCGTTTGCACGAAAGCAATGTTGAGCAACTTCTGCAAGGCCTAGCGTGCAGATTAGACTTGAAGGTTGTACTAGAGGGTTGACTCAGCCAATTCGTATGCCTAGAATTCTTGACCCGCATAGTTTTCTAGTTTTGATTGCGGTCACTTGCGATCAAATTCCCAGGTTCGCTCCTCGTTTTGGCGATCTTGAGGAATCCCCATGGCTTGCCAGGCAGCTACCCAGTCCTGGGAGAAGGAGCCTACTTCTTGGAACAAGGGAGGGTAGACAGATGTAGAAATATGCATATAGAGAGAGGTCAAAGAGTAGAAGATCTGTTTCCCCAAACAGTTCGCTGTTGGGGCTCTATCTTAGAAAAAGGAGCTGGCCACACTCACTGGCCGCGTGGCTGGGCTCTGTGTCCAGGCCTTGCCCTCCTCTTGCCCTCTGTCTGTGTCCAGGCCTTGTCCTCCTCTTGTCCTCCTCTTGGCCGCGCCCCTGAACTCTGTGGCTGGGCTCTGTGTCCAGGCCTTGTCCTCCTCTTGTCCTCTGTGGCTGGGCCTTGTCCTCTTCTTCTCCTCCTCTTGTCCTTGTCTTGGCCGCGCCCCTGAACTCTGTGGCTGGGCTCTGTGTCCGGGTCTTGTCCTCCTCTTGTCCTTGTCTTGGCCGCGCCCCTGAACTCTGTGGCTGGTCTCTGTGGCCCGGCTTACTGGAGAGGAGTGTGGCCGAACAAATAGCGATGTCAATGCAGACAAAAATTCATTGATGAAGCAGTTTGCTCTTGGGGTGAAGGTAGGGCGTACCAAGAAGTCAATTTTTGACTAATATTGGTCTAAATGAATCGTTTTGAAGCTGTTTGGGGTCTACGCTTGTACAAGTAGTTCCCGGGCAAGCCGGAGGCGGAAGTTTCCAAAAGAATAAACCTATAGGAAATGGGCATGTGGCAGGCTGATTCGCCGAGCTGCGATGTTCTTTGACAAAACAAGTTGGAACCGACCAATGGAGCGAAAGCGAAGCAACCACCGTCAACTGTCTCGCAGGAAAAAACGTTGTTCATGCATTTTTGCAAAATACAGAATAGAGATGACTCAGCCGCGTACTAAAGTTGTACTACAAAGTCGCCAGTTCTCAGCTTCCAGCTCCACGGCTTGCTCCGCGTACTAGAGTTGTACTACAAAGTCGCCAGTTCTCAGCTTCCAGCTCCACAGATACTCCGCGTACTAAAGTTGTACTGCAAAGTCGCCAGTTCTCAGCTTCCAGCTCCCCAGATTGCTCCGCGTACTAAAGTTGTACTACAAAGTCGCCAGTTCTCATCTTCCAGCTCCCCAGATACTCCGCGTACTAAAGTTGTACTACAAGTCGCCAGTTCTCAGCTTCCAGCTCCACAGATTGCTCCGCGTACTAAGGTAGCACTGCAAAGTCGCCAGTTCTCATCTTCCAGCTCCCCAGATACTCCGCGTACTAAAGTTGCACTACAAAGTCGCCAGTCCTCATCTTCCAGCTCCCCAGATACTCCGCGTACTAAAGTTGTACTACAAAGTCGCCAGTTCTCAGCTTCCAGCTCCCCAGGTTGCTCCGCGTACTAAAGTTGTACTACAAAGTCGCCAGTTCTCAGCTTCCAGCTCCACAGATTGCTCCGCGCACTGAAGTTGTACTACAAAGTCGCCAGTTCTCAGCTTCCAGCTCGGCAGATACCCCGCGTACTAAAGTTGCACTACAAAGTCGCCAGTTCTCAGCTTCCAGCTCCACAGATGCTGTGCCTGCCACGAAATCTGCACATGGAGGTTCACAAAGTGCTGTGCCTCGCAAGAAATCTGCAGATGGAGGTTCACAAAGTGCTGTGCCTGCCACGAAATCTGCACATGGAGGTTCACAAAGCGCTGTGCCTG